CAGCCACACCCACCTTTTGCTTCTTATTCTGTTTACCTTGTTTGTTGTCAAAACCCAGGGCTTTTTTTGGAGCAGGAACTCCTTTGCATGTTAGGCCACACACCCCTAATGTAGCCAATCCTAATGAGTTTCTGCTGTTGGGTGTGGCCTGTTATGCTAATGAGCTCCTGCTGGGCATGGCCAACTCGGGAGCCAGCCGGAACTCCGTTCCTGTGCGTTCCTGCCCAAAAATAGCCCTGTAAATTACGAGCAATAATATCTAAATGCGGTAGAACGTGAAATCAGGAGAGGTTCTGAAGTGTATTGGCGATTCAAACTTATATGTAATAAAAGTGCCGTCTTAAAGCAGAGTCGTATCCTGCTAAGGCTTCAACAGGCTCCCCATAGGGTTGTGCTGCGAGTTATGTTTCTATTTTGTTTATACTTTTTTAGCATTTTATACTCTCTCTTTCAAGACCGCTACCTGTGATCAGTCAAAGAAATGAGCCTAAATGAGCAAAAACGGAAGATCCAAATACTGTAAAATCTGGTCTAATGTAGGATGGTTGTGCTACGATGAGCACTTTATTTTTCATCCGCTAGGACCCACTGATCTCTAATATTGATCCTCTTGTTATTTCAGGGCATTCCCGGCCCCAAAGGATTTCCTGGGTTCCTAGGACATCCAGGTCTTCCGGTAAGTTTTTTACTCCACGGCACTGAAATGATGAGCTAAACCAAGCAAGTTCAAATGGGGGCTCTTAAAATGGGTGCATTTCTTATCATTCCTGATCATTAGCCTATGTCGGTATGGCAGCTGCGTCCTTTTCCCCTTCTAGGATAGCGGTGTCGAATTTTCCAGAGTCATTAAACTTCTATCAGTGTAATTCCTTTCTTTATAACAATAAAGGAATAAATATTTTAGGACATCTAGCCAGTTTGGTGTAGTGGTTAAGTGCGCGGACTCTAATCTGGGAGGTAAAGGTTCCCTTGCTCGAAAGCCAGTCGAATCCGACTCTAGGGTTGCGGTGCTCATCTCCGTTTCAAAGCCGAAGAGCCAGCGCTGTCTGAAGACGTTTCCGTGGTCATGTGGCCGGCATGACTAAACACCAAGGTGCACGGAACGCTGTTACCTTCCCACCAAAGTGGCACCTATTTATCTACTTGCAATGTCTTGCTTTCGAACTGCTAGGTTGGCAGGAGCTGGAACTAGAGATGGGTGCTCACTCCATCATGTGGCACCCAGGTCTCGAACTGCTGAACTACTGACCTTCCACAGCCTGCAGTTCAGCGTCTTAACCACTTGAGCCACCGCAGCTCAACTGCGGTTTGATTCCCCACTCCTCCACTTGCACCTGCTGGATGACTTTGGGCAAGCCATAGTTCTATCAGAGCGGTCCTAGAAAAAGAGCAGTTTCTGTCAGAGCTCTCTCAGCCCCACCTACCTCACAGGGTGTCTGTTGTGGGGAGGGGAAGGGAAAGGAGTTTGTAAGCCACTCTGAGACACCTTTGGGTAGTGAAGGGCAGGGTATAAATCCAATCTCCTCCTCCTCCTCCTTCTTTGTTGCTGGTTTGCAATCCCTCCTCCTTGGCTGGCTTCCTTTATATGAGAATAGGTGGGTGATGGGGGGATTTGGGAGGGGCTGTGGGGCATGGTACCTGAAGGGATGAGGCCTGCAATAAACGGGTGTGGGTTGGGGTTCCACACCCACAGACGAGACTCACAGGCATTTCCCAGATTGCAGCCACCTTTCAGGGTTTTTTCGTGGGTATCGTGGCAGTTCCAATTTGGTTGTTTTTTCCCCATCACGGTTTTGTCTGTTCACACTCACACTGAGAATTGATTTTCTGCTCCCCCCCCCCCCACACTTTTTTTTTTTTGTGCATGCACGGAAGTGTTGCAGCAGTTCAGCAGCCTCAAGGGGGCTGTGCAATCCCCATTGAAGTACGTTCCCCGCCCATCACACGACACCTGAAGGTCTTACCCTGGTGTATGTGTCTCACCCCTTATTGGTAGTCTCTTTTCCCGCACTTGAGCAAGGCGGGGGGAAAATGTTCAGACTCCGAGCAAGAGGCTATTTCACAATGGGGGGGGGGGGAGGCAAAAAAAACTTGTTTAAGAAAGAAAGGGGGGGGATACGAGGAAAGACTGGGAGAGCAAGGGGGTGTTAATGAAGTTGTCTGGACGCAAGAAAAAAAATGGCAACCTAATGAAAATGGAACGCCACAGTTGATAATTCAAATTCCACCTTTATTGGCTGGCCGGCCGCAATACAGCCCACGCCACATTGCCCGAAGTTCCCTCACACCAGCCGCAGGGTAGTTCGCACCACTTCCCACTTCCACACCCAACAGCTGCCTGGCTCTCTTGATCTCTCTCTCGCTCAGTCCAGGACCTCCCAACTATGCAGGACTGCTTCCTTAAGATCCTAGCCTAATGACCGGGAATACCGACTTAGTTCGTGACCCCTCCATCCGGCTCTACCGCCGCAGCCTCACCTAAGCTCTAAAGGTGTGCCCTCTCCACACATAGGGTTCCCAAATCAGGCCGGGGGGCAGGGAATCCCCCGCTTTGACGGCCCGATTTTTGACGGGACGAAAATCGGGCCCGGGGGAAACCCCACCCCCGCGTGCGCATCACCCGGAAGTGACGTTGCATGCTGGGGGCGGGGCCACGCCATTTGAGGGGAAACGCGCATGCACATTCCAGACGCTGGCCGGGAGCCCCCCGCTCCCGGCCAAAACATATTTGGCAACCCTAGTGGCCAACCAGTTCCTCTGTAGCGCCAACAACAGGGCATAGAGGCCAGACGACTTCCGGGTGACACGCGCGCGCACGGCACAGATGCCGGCCGGGAGCCCCCCGCTCCCGGCCAAAAGACATTTGGCAACCCTATCCACGCACCACTGTTGCATGTGCCAGCTACCCCTCACCTGGCCATCGGAACACCTGGCCATATCCGGCCCACCAGCCATTCTGGCTTCTTCCCTCTTGGACCCCCTGCTCCTTGTACCCATCTGCCTAGGTATCCCCAGTCCCCTTGGAGGTCCCCCTGCTACCCCGGTGTCACAAGGTAGTCTCATTATTGCTCCTCCTCTCCACCGTGATTCACACACAGCCAGAGATCCCTTACTTTCTGCATCTTGGCCTCGTATTGCATTTTTGTTCTCACGTCGAAGTGTGGATTCATCAGTGTCACTTTGACCTCTCCCCCTTCCAGGGCTTCGGGGCTTTTGGAGAAAAAGGAGAAAAGGGTGTGCCTGGCTTGCCAGGACCCCGGGTAAGTAGCTTCCCCAGATCGACCCATGGCAGTTTTGCATGATACCTTGGTACGGTGATGTGAGGGGGGTGAGGTTTAATTCACGTAGCCTTCATTGTAAGCTGGGGCTTGGCTCCACCAGAACATTTCCCTGGATGCAAGGGCAGGTGGGGGGGGGGGATTTCGGGCTGCAGTGGGAGGTGGGAATTTGCAGTCCACAGAAGGAAATCCTGCCATCTGCAGAAAAGCTCCAGTGGAGCCAAGCCTTACATCTTTTAATATATAGCTTGCAGCTTGTTCTTGTGTCTGCTTTCATCTTGACGTATGCGGTTTGATGATAAGGGGCCCTTCTCTTTCGAACAGGGATCTCCAACTTTTTCAAGCCTGTGGGCACCTTTGGAATTTTGACATAGTGTGGTGGGCGCAGCCACAAAACATCTGCCACAGACGGCAGGGGCAACCACAAAATGCCAGGAAGTGAGGTCATGCATACCCCTAATAGTAAGTCTTCAACATTGCAGGTAGAGGTTATGTTTCATACAACATTGCAGGTAGAGGTTATGTTTCATACAATGTCTTTTAAAATGAACATATTGTTTAAAACTACCTTCTTGCATATACACAGCTTGCCTTCAGTCAAAATGGTTGCTGCCACTTACCAGTTTGGTGTAGTGGTTAAGTGCGCAGACTCTAATCTGGGAGAACTGGGTTTGATTCCCCACTCCTCCACTTGCACCTGCCTTACACATTAAGCATTAAGTTGGATTTCAGTCATGCTCTTCTGTGTAATTTCCTGGCAAAGCATGATAAGGGCTCGACAGCACTCTAGGACAAACACTGCTTTTTTGTGGAATATGGATATGTGTACAGGATGAGTACACAGGCTGCAGAGACTGGATGCCTGCAGATGCCCTCAGTGCAGATTTTGTCATTTGTGAAGCATGTCTTCCACACACAGATATCCCCTCCCATTCGGTACGGGGCAACAGCAAGATCACAGGCTCTATGTGGCCCTCTGAGACATTAGTACAAATAGGTTAATAAATATAGTCAATAAGCACTAAATGAAAGCATTTCGTATGTTGTTTTCCCCCAAAGACAACTTTGAAAACTTGGACGTGGCACAACCAGGTGCATTTGGTTACACATTTATGTGGTGCGTACAGACTAGGACTGCATGTGTAATTAGACAGCCCCTGAGTCAGGGCTTTTTTTGTAGAAAAAGCCCTGCAGGAACTCATTAGCATAATAGGCCACACCCCTGACAGCACAACTCATTGGCATATTAGGCCGTACCCCCATGTTACCAGAAGTGTGCTCATCCAGCCACACCCACCTTTTGCTTCTTATTCTGTTTACCCAGGGCTTTTTTGTAGCAGGAACTCCTTTGCATGTTAGGCCACACACCCCTAATGTAGCCAATCCTAATGGGTTTCTGCTGTTGGGTGTGGCCTATTATGCTAATGAGTTCTTGCTGGGTGTGGCCAACTCGGAAGCCAGCCGGAACTCCGTTCCTGTGCGTTCCTGCCCAAAAATAGCCCTGCCCTGAGTACTGCAGAAATGTTCATTACCTCTTTTTCCCTTTTCTTCTAGGGAGACATGAGATTCAAGGGATTGACTGGTGCTGAAGGCAGAAAGGTGACTATTATGTTTAAAGTTGGAAATAACCTTTCTCTGTGTCATGTTCTAGCAGTTAGGGTGTCTGGGAACTGTAGTCATATAGTATTGAGACTGTCAGGAGCGTAACTTTTTTGCTATTAAGCTGGCCTGCTTGAGCCAGCTTCCATCTGTTGACAAAATATACATAGATACCGGCTGCGGTCACACACACTAAATAATCCACTTTCAGTGCAATTTCTAGCTGGATCTTACCGTGTGAACTGGCAAAATCCAGGTGAAAAATGCACTGAAGGTGGATTGAAAGTGGATTATTTAGCGTCTGTGACCACAGCCACCATGTGCTTGTAGCAGATCTCTGAGCAGCTACATCAAAAAGCATCACTTCCTTCTCGCATAGGTGAGCAAACATTACTTGGAAATGTAGGATAACTAATGCCCTCACCTGGATGAGCTCAGCTAGCCTGAGCTCATCAGATCCTAGAAGCTAAGCAGGGTCGGCCCTGGTTACTACTTGGGTGGGAGACCACCAAGGAAGTCCGGGGTTGCTATTGCAGAGGCAGGCCTCTTGCCTTGAAAACCCTACGGGGTTGCCATGAGTCAACTGTGACTCGATGGCGCTTTCCACCACCACAGTGCCATCAAGAAGCAGCCGCATGGAAAGTTTACAACTTGAGTGGGTCAAGATAATTTCGTGGATCATTCTGTGTTATTTGACAGTTGGATGTTATTTCTGAAGAAGGATGCCGCAGGGGTCCACCACTAGCCGAGCTGCTCTCCTCCGGTTAAGGAGACGTCTCCTTGAGCAAGATGTTCTTCAGAGTGTCTTACTGTGGAGGAGCCTCCTTCTGATGGAGGAAAGCAGCTTGTGGAGCAGATCCACAGTATCCAACCTTCTGCATTCAAATCCAAGGAGAGACGTGAATTCTTGGGGGGGTGGCCTTTGGCAAGTCATTTTTAGAACTTCTTGCAGAGTAGCGTTTGGACACGTGCAAACCAAAGAGCGCAAAGGACTCTGTATACCAAGGAAGAGCTGGGTAGAAATTAGTTCAATAACAGTTGTAATTCATTTTTCATTCAGGGCGTAAGAGGTGACTCCGGCTTTCCTGGACAGGATGGACTTCCAGGAGGAAAGGTAAACTTTCATGGAAATGCACCTTCCTTCTCTGAACTGTGATGGTCGAGCCAGGATGGTCTAAGTGGATCATAAAGCTGTCCCCTGTTTTTTTGTTTTGCAGGGCGAATGGGGCGACATCGGGCCACCTGGCCCCACAATTTATGTCGACATGGATGGTTCCATAATCTCAGGTGCAGTTTTGGGGGGTTTTTTTGCTTCTTAAAACATATTGTCAAAATGAGGGTTGGCACAGCAGTCAGCTGACCGGGTATTGGCAGTGGGTCGAATACTGTCTCATAGTCGAGAATGTCAGAGTACGGGTGACGGCCTTTCCTTTTCTGTTTCATTCTGGTGTCCCTTGTTACCAAGAGTGGGAGTGAGGGCTGCTTGTCTCCCTGAGCCCTGCAGGACTTGAGGACAAGCTGAGCAAAACAGCAAAGCTAGCCCCTTTCAGGCTCCTTAGTCAGATCACACCACACAGGGCTTCGTAAGAAGTCAGAGGTCATTTCGGGGGGGATTGCAGTTCCCCCGGGTGAGGTACGGGGGGCGGGGCACATGATGAAGCCCCGCCCCCTGCTTCCGGCCACCCCATTTCCGGCCCTCATTCAGCCAGGAGGAGGCAGGAGAAGAGGGAGGGTAAGTTGCTTCCTCCCTGCCTCTCCCCGGGCTTCCTTGCACTCCCGCCGGCCGGGACCGTTGGGGGCGGGGGGTGTGGCCTTATGACACACTTCCGGTGATGTCAGGGGGTGTGGCATATGCTAATGAGTTATGCTAATGAGTTCCCCTAGCTCTTTTTCTACGAAACGACCCCTGTAAGAAGTTAACTGTTTATTAGTGGTTCCAGTACCAAAGAACACGTGTACAGATTGTGTCAGGAATAGCCATCAGTATAAGGGCCTCTGACTTATAGTAAAATCGAACACCCCCCCTGTGAATGCAAGCCAATGGTTATAGTTCGCGCGCACGGGCCAAAGCAAGCGGGCAAAGCGCAAAAGCCGTTAACTTTCCCAGCCGAGTTTATTGCAGCTGGAGACAGCAAGGTCAAGCATGAGATAGCGCACAGAAGCAGGACAGGGAAGAGCTGAGAACAAGGAGGAGAGCACCCCTCCACATTCCAGATCTATGACAGGGCTACCTGACAGCCCCTCACCCCCAAATATCTGCAGGTGTCTCCAAACGGGTACACAAGCAAGCTTCACTGTCAAAAGTTTATAATAATTCATTATGCTTTTAAAAAAAGCAAAAAAAGGTAATCACATTGCTCCACAGGACCTGTTAACTAATTTGTCACACACTATAAAATGTGCAAGCCCCACAAAATACACGCCTTGCTAACTCACTTTATTGAGTTAAGAGTGGTGCTCATCAGAGGCTGGAGGTTACGCTGGTCAGAGAGAGTGGGCAGAATCTTGTTGGGATGCTCCCCAAACCCACTTAGATCCATTTTCACAGATTTCAGTTAAATCAGGGGCAATGTTCCCTCTAAGCTGTGGAGTCTTGTGAGCAAAAATTCTACTTTGTGAGTTACTGGCATTAAAGTTGTGAGTGAGCGATTTGGCTGCTGCATGAATTAGTTTGCTCCGGAGCCATCTTTCCAGAGAAAAGGTGAAAATGTGTGAGCCAGAAGCTTAAAAACTGTGAGCTAGCTCAAACTGGCTCAGCTTAGAGGGAACACTGATCAGGGATAGTCCACTCCTCTGCCCTTGAGCTGTTTGTCACATTGAATCTCAATCAGTTCGGAGTTTATTTTTATTTATTTTCATTTTTCAGATTTATATTCTGCCCTCCCCGCAAACGGGCTCAGGGCAGATCACAATATAATTGGCCAGTCAGCAACACAAGACATAATACTAAATAGTTAATTAAAACATTGAAAGTGCATTTAAAAACGAATGGCACCAGTATCACTGAACTCTGCGTTAATCTGATCCGGGCTGTAGAGAGATTGTCTCTTCAGCAGGGGAGGCCAGATGTTTCCACTGAACGCTCGCCACCTCAACCAAAGGTCTGGCAGAACAGCTCCATTCCCCAGGCCCCGCAGAATGGAAGAAGGTCCCGAAGGCTAAACGGACGTCCCTTGGGCCAGGGTCAACCCGTAGATTTTAGCAGAGCACAAGGCTCTCTGGGGCACATACGTGGAGAGGTGGTCCCTTAGAAATGTCAGTCCCTCAAATAGCCATATAAAAGGTAAAGGTTCCCTTGCTCGAAAGCCAGTCAAATCCGACTCTAGGGTTGCGGTGCTCATCTCCGTTTCCAAGCCGAAGAGCCAGCGCTGTCCGAAGACATTTCCGGCGAATGGCACCAGTACCAATGTCACAGAACTCTGTGTTAATCTAATCCGGGCTGCAGAGAGATTGTCTCTTCAGCAGGGGAGGCCAGATGTTTCAACCGGACGCCTCAACCAAAGGTCTGGCAGAACAGCTCCATTCCCCAGGCCCTGCAAAACAGAAGAAGGTCCCGCAGGCTAAACGGACGTCCCTTGGGCCAAGGTCAACCCGTAGATTTTAGCAGAGCACAAGGCTCTCTGGGGCACATACGTGGAGAGGTGGTCCCTTAGAAATGTCAGTCCCTCAAATAGCCATATAGATATACAGTATTCACAAGCACTCTCACAATACTAGCTCTCAGTAGAAACACGCTTTTATTGAACATACTCAGTAATCACAGAATTTAAAAGTGCTCTCAGATTATTGTTCTGTGAAAGTTATTTTTCTCTCAATTCAAATTGTTAAGATTCATTCATCTTATTGCATATTGTTTTTTGTTTTATTCTGTTCGTTTCTGCGTACTTTTGATGTTGCATGTTATTATAAAAGTTGAATAAAACATATTTTAAAAAAGGAAAGGAAATGTCAGTCCCAGGCCACGGCAAAGCTTTGAGCAATCCAATCCAATCACGGTATGTTTTTTACCTGATACCCACACAGCCATAGATGTTGAGGAAGTGTCGTGAGCATGCACTTCTATGATGCTGTGATTTACAGATGTTGTGGCAAAAGCACACCCAAGCTCTCCTTTCTAGCGTCTGCCAAATATGACCACCCAGGAATATGGGGCAGGAGGGAGCTGTTCTGCAGTTGCTGAGTGCATGTTTTCGTTACTGAGGCATCTCTGGGAAAGTGCAGCTAAAGGTTGGGAATATTTAAGTCCAGTTTTAAGATTCTCTACTGTGATGTAGCTTTACTATCACATTAGTGCATCTCACTGCTGTTCAGAAACTTGTGTGTGATGAAAACTGTGATTCTGCAAGTTCATACAAAGAACGGCATTCTGTGCCACTAAGTTACAGTCCCTCCTGCTCATAGTGCCAAGTGTGTTTTGAAGTACACTGACCGTCAGTGGAGGCCATGAGGTTATGGGCAAGGTGAATGCAGGACTGTTCTAAAGTCTTTCCCTTTGAATACTAGGTCCTCTCGGAGATCCTGGGATACCGGGTACCCCAGGCCCTAGGGGCGATGAAGGGACCATAGGCTTACCAGGTCCTCCTGGCCAACATGGATTTCCTGCCCCAGTTACAGGTAAGAGAGTTTCCATTACCTCTAAAAGCCAAAAAGCTGCCTATTAGATGTTGTGATGAGAGTTGAAGACGCTGAATAGAAAGGCAGAGATTTTACAACTCTTGTGGTTGGGTTGTTAGAAGCCTGTAATGCGCTGGATGGTGTTATATTCCCTGTTTAAAAGCAGCAGTTGAGCAGGGCTTTAGGGGATACGTTCTAGTCTTTTTTTTTGTCTGTGAGGATAAGGACTAGCAACCTCTTGTAAAATAAAGGGATGAGCCCCAATTCCAAGGATTCTGTAATGCTCATTTCTGCATGTGTGATGCAAGTTGTAGACAAACCCCTGCCAGTTGTCTTTCCCCAGCAGCTCAACTCTAAGGAGAGCTTTACACCCTTGTAAATCCATTGACATCACCGGGCTGAGAAGGATGTATGTCTTTTGGTTGCACTGCATGTGAACTGCATTTAAGCAGACTGCATTTGGTCTTCGGTATTCTACTGGCACAATCAGTGGAGGACTTGGAGGACTTCTCCCCGACTCTGTGATCCTCACAGAAAAATTCTACTTTGTGAGTTACTGGCATTAAAGTTGTGAGTGAGCGATTTGGCTGCTGCATGAATTAGTTTGCTCCGGAGCCATCTTTCCAGAGAAAAGGTGAAAATGTGTGAGCCAGAAGCTTAAAAACTGTGAGCTAGCTCAAACTGGCTCAGCTTAGAGGGAACACTGATCAGGGATAGTCCACTCCTCTGCCCTTGAGCTGTTTGTCACATTGAATCTCAATCAGTTCGGAGTTTATTTTTATTTATTTTCATTTTTCAGATTTATATTCTGCCCTCCCCACAAACGGGCTCAGGGCAGATCACAATATAATTGGCCAGTCAGCAACACAAGACATAATTCTAAATAGTTAATTAAAACATTAAAAGAGCATTTAAAAGCGAATGGCACCAGTACCAATGTCACAGAACTCTGTGTTAATCTAATCCGGGCTGCAGAGAGATTGTCTCTTCAGCAGGGGAGGCCAGATGTTTCCACTGGACGCTCGCCGCCTCAACCAAAGGTCTGGCAGAACAGCTCCATTCCCCAGGCCCTGCAAAACAGAAGAAGGTCCCGCAGGCTAAACGGACGTCCCTTGGGCCAAGGTCAACCCGTAGATTTTAGCAGAGCACAAGGCTCTCTGGGGCACATACGTGGAGAGGTGGTCCCTTAGAAATGTCAGTCCCTCAAATAGCCATATAGATATACAGTATTCACAAGCACTCTCACAATACTAGCTCTCAGTAGAAACACGGTTTTATTGAACATACTCAGTAATCACAGAATTTAAAAGTGCTCTCAGATTATTGTTCTGCAAAAGTTATTTTTCTCTCAATTCACATTGTTAAGATTCATTCATCTTATCACATATTGTTTTTTTGTCTTATTCTGTTCGTTTCTGCATACTTTTGATGTTGCATGTTATTATAAAAGTTGAATAAAACATATTTTAAAAAAGGAAAGGAAATGTCAGTCCCAGGCCACGGCAAAGCTTTGAGCAATCCAATCCAATCACGTTATGTTTTTTACCTGATACCCACACAGCCATAGATGTTGAGGAAGTGTCATGAGCATGCACTTCTGTGATACTGTGGTTTACAGATGTTGTGGCAAAGGCACATCCAAGCTCTCCTTTCTAGCCAAATACGACCACCCAGGAATGGGGCAGGAGGGAGCTGTTCTGCAGTTGCTGAGTGCATGTTTTCGTTACTGAGGCATCTCTGGGAAAGTGCAGCTAAAGGTTGGGAATATTTAAGTCCAGTTTTAAGATTCTCTACTGTGATGTAGCTTTACTATCACATTAGTGCATCTCACTGCTGTTCAGAAACTTGTGTGTGATGAAAACTGTGATTCTGCAAGTTCATACAAAGAACGGCATTCTGTGCCACTAAGTTACAGTCCCTCCTGCTCATAGTGCCAAGTGTGTTTTGAAGTACACTGACCGTCAGTGGAGGCCATGAGGTTATGGGCAAGGTGAATGCAGGACTGTTCTAAAGTCTTTCCCTTTGAATACTAGGTCCTCTCGGAGATCCTGGGATACCGGGTACCCCAGGCCCTAGGGGCGATGAAGGGACCATAGGCTTACCAGGTCCTCCTGGCCAACCTGGATTTCCTGCCCCAGTTACAGGTAAGAGAGTTTCCATTACCTCTAAAAGCCAAAAAGCTGCATATTAGATGTTGTGATGAGAGTTGAAGACGCTGAATAGAAAGGCAGAGATTTTACAACTCTTGTGGTAGGGTTGTTAGAAGCCTGTAATGCGCTGGATGGTGTTCAAAGTATATTCCCTGTTTAAAAGCAGCAGTTGAGCAGGGCTTTAGGGGATACGTTCTAGTCTTTTTTTTTGTCTGTGAGGATAAGGACTAGCAACCTCTTGTAAAATAAAGGGATGAGCCCCAATTCCAAGGATTCTGTAATGCTCAATTCTGCATGTGTGATGCAAGTTGTAGACAAACCCCTGCCAGTTGTCTTTCCCCAGCAGCTCAACTCTAAGGAGAGCTTTACACCCTTGTAAATCCATTGACATCACCGGGCTGAGAAGGATGTATGTCTTTTGGTTGCACTGCATGTGAACTGCATTTAAGCAGACTGCATTCGGTCTTCGGTATTCTACTGGCACAATCAGTGGAGGACTTGGAGGACTTCTCCCCGACTCTGTGATCCTCACGGGAAGCACGTCGGAGGAGCCAGATGATGACGATGATTGTTGTGGTTGTTGATGTTGTCGTCATCTTCACCATCATTATCATCATTGTCATTATTTACAAAATTTGTAACCCGCCTTTCTGCCCCTTACGTGGGCCACCAAGGCAACTAACAATTTAAAGGTAAAGGTAAAGGTTTCCCTTGCTCGAAAGCCAGTCGAGTCCGACTCTAGGGTTGCGGTGCTCATCTCCGTTTCAAAGCCGAAGAGCCAGCGCTGTCCGAAGACGTTTCCGTGGTCATGTGGCCAGCATGGCTAAACACCAAGGCGCACGGAACACTGTTACCTTCCCACCAAAGTGGTACCTATTTATCTACTTGCAAGTTCTTGCTTTCAAACTGCTAGGTTGGCAGGAGCTGGAACTAGAGACGGGAGTGAGCTCCCTCATGCGGCACACACAGGTCTCGAACTGCTGAACTACCGACCTTCCACAGCCTGCAGTTCAGCGTCTTAACCACTTGAGCCACCGCAGCTCCTTTAAAACCATTAACCCTCCCAAACAAAGACCAGAGTTAAAATACATACAAAACATAAAAAGAGCAGTTAAAACATTGGTCAGGAAGGAGGGATCATTGAGGGAATGCCAAGTGACACACACAAAAAAGTCTTAGCCCGCTGGCGGAAGGCGGCAACAGAAGGGGACAGACAACTCTCCCTGGGATGGAGCACCCGCTGAACTTTCAGCAAGATAATCCGGTCCTGAATTGAATCCAGTGCAGATCAGGCCACTGCCAGGGGCCCTTCTGGAGCCTTCCCCGCCACCTCTGCCGTCACACTCTTTTTCATGCTTACCTGAAGTTGCCGAGAAGGCCGTGGGGGAGCTTCCCGGAGGCTAAAAAACTGTGAGCTAGCTCACACTCACTCAGCTTAGAGCAGTGGTGGCACTCAGATGGCACGAGTGCCTTCGCCGCAGCCAGGCCCAGACCATCATTAAAGTGTCGAATTCTCTGCCAAATAATTTTAAGTAAATGAAAGCATTTGGGATTGCTTTCCTTACTTTGTTTGGATCATCTTAAGTCAATGTGTGGGTTGTTTTTTCTAAAGTAAAACCTCAGTATTCAGGTTAAATTGCCGTGTTGGCACTTTGCGATAAATAAGTGGGTTTTGGGTCGCAGTTCGGGCACTCGGTCACTAAAAGGTCCGCCATCACTGCCTTAGGCTCTTTTTGCTCCTGCAAGTATGTGCAGAATCATCCAGACCTGTTAGGAAGGATGGAAATGGTAGTGTTAGTGATCCCTGGTGGTTCAAGATACACAATACCTATGTTCTCTTGTGGGTCCTCCTGCATTCCTCTCTGGATTTCGCCCTGCTACAACTGCATTGCCCCCCCCCAAAAAGTGCAAAATTAACAACCTGCAGTGGTAGATACTGTAAATGTGCCATTTTAGGCTTTTCTAGGTGACTCTAATGCATGGGTACATTTTAATAAACACAGTAAAATAATGAGAGAGAGAGAGAAGGCTTTTATTGTATTTAGCCATAGGCCATTACAAACCACAGAGAAGAATGCAATAAAACATAGAAATTTGTATAAAATAAGATACAGTCTAAAACATTATAAATCCATAAAACCGAGGTTATAAACAGTTAATTAATTCACAACGTACCCACTAAATCAGTATTAGCTAGAAACAGCGTTGGCCCGTATTTTCCTTGCAGCCAAGGCAAATAGAGCCATTCTATTGGATACATCGGCATTGGCATCGGCTAGCAAAAATATAATCTTCTCTGGGACTGAGTAAAAGCTTAAAACTGGTAAAATACCAGATAAAAATTTTGACCTAGGCTGGGAGTACAATGAGCAATCAAAAATGTAATGGGAAAGGAGGAGAAGAGACTGGATTTATACCCTGCCCTTCACTTGGAGTCTCAGAGCAGCTTACAAACTCCTTTCCCTTCCCCTCCCCACAACAGACACCCTGTGAGGTGGGTGGGGCTGAGAGAGCTCTGACAGAAACGGCTCATTTTCAAGGACAGCTGTGCCAGAGCTTGTGACTGACCCAAGGTCACACCAGCAGCTGCAAGTGGAGGAGTGGGGAATCAAACCCGGTTCTCCCAGATTAGAGTCCGCACACTTAACCACGACACCAAGCTGGCTCTCCAGTAAAAGAGCGAGTAAAACAATGAAACATATATAAATGAAAATGAAACTATTTCAGTCAACAGAAGGTACCTGAATGCATGTAGTGACCGAGAATGCTGTATGTGTTTGTTGTTACCCAGGCTCTCCAGGCCGCTTGGGGTTCCCTGGTGTTCCAGGTCTCCGAGGTGAAACCGGCGACCCAGGAAGAGAAACAGTTGGGTTCCCTGGCCCTCCTGGCCGAGACGGACCTCCAGGTTTCCCAGGAGCTCCAGGGCTTCCTGGTCCACCACGTATGTTCTTTGCATACTTCTGCTGTTAATTTGAAGTCCAAGTGATATTTTCTTCCAACTCTTCTTATGTGTAAAATGCCCACGATCCTGGCCACCAGCTTAGAACTAAGCAGGTTTGGCAATTCACTGTCATGCAGTCCGCAGATGATTGTTTTTCCTCCATTTCTGTCCTGCAGGTATCATACATGTCCAACTATACATAGTGCCCTTCTATTGCTTTAGGATTTTTTGTTTTTAACAGGCCAACATTACTGTCTGTCATTTTCATTTTCCTGGGACTTTTCAAGTTTGTCAAGATGTGAACAATCGTTGGCGAGGGTTTGCCTCTCTGGCCTTTGGGGCTGCAATTTTTTATTAATCCATTAGATTTAATGGATTAAAAACCTTGGGGTTGGTGAAAAAATTGGCTGCAATTAATTGGGTAACAGTTCCCCCCACCCCAAATTCCCCTCTTTGTAATACAAGCTCTCACAAAAACTACAAGTAGTAGTCGTTCTCTTAGAAAAAGCATCCTCCTTTTTCTTATTTGCAGGAGATGTAGCCTCTTCTAAGCCGCTGCCTGCTGCGTCTCACCTGCAGGCGTAATTTAAACGGGGCTTCATTTTTCTTCTTCCAGAACTCCTTATTGTTACTCTAAGGCAGGTTTGATTGATTAACCTTATAAAATGCATATGGTTAATCAGCTTTCTTTAACTGAGAGACTTTAGTATTAGACGCTGGGGAAGTTTAAGTGCTGTGTCCAGGCACCAAGCCTCATTCTTACAAACCTTGTTTGCATGGTTACAGGCTCAGCCAAAGGATACGTTCATATTATTTATACCTGGCTTTCCATCCAGGGTTGGTTCTCAAAGCAATTTACAGCAATTAAAGCAAAACACAGATACGATGATGAGTTATTGAGGGCGTGCCCTGCAAGTCTTTTCTGGTCCCTGGCTCTTGATGACATAATCCAGGATCCAGAGAAAGTGGGTAGAGGGAGGTGCAGTGGACTCAGGATGGTAATAATAACAATAGTTAGCATTTTTGGCTTTCCTCTCCTGTGCAAAGGAAGAGCGGGAATGCCAGCATGGTGTACTGGTTAGAGTGTCGGGCCAGGATCTGGCAGACATGTGGTCAAATTCCTACTCTCCTGTGGAAGTTCACTGGGTGATCTTATGTGAGTCGCTGTCTTTCAGCCTCACCTGCCTCATAGGGTTACTATGCCGGGAAAATGAAGTTGTCGGGTTTTTCAGGCCTTCGAAATCTTTGCCCCAGTGAGATGTCCTAAATAACCTCTGCATTGACAGACCCACACATTGTTCCCCAATGGTAATTTCTGCAACTGCAACAGTGCATTTCCCCCCAGCCTCTGTGAGCACAGGAATCTCTTCCTTATGACTGCAGCCGTGTCTTTGAAACACCCTTTCCAAGCCATGCCATCTGCAGAATGGGACAGGAGACCTTAAACACGGCTATTGAGCTGCGGCCTCTACAATGACAAGGCATCAAGGAAGAAGCTCTGGTTCATTGTTTTGGAGGAACATGTATCATGGGAAAATGTGAAAGACCCTGTGGTAGGGGAGCTCTGCCAGCTCTGGGTTGGAAAATTCCTGGATATTTGGGGATAGAGCCTAGGGAGGGACCTCATTTCAGCAGGGGTACGGTGCCACAGAGCCCACCCTCCAAAGCAGCCATTCTCTCCGGGGGAACTGTTCTCGGCCATCTGGAGATCATTTGTAATCCCAGGAGATCTCCAGGCCCCACCTGGAGGTTGGCAACCCTAGCCTTTGGTCATACCAGGTTGGATCTCATTATTCCTGTCCTCTGAGTCTTCTTCCAGTGAATAGTTTCAGGGGGTGGTGTTGGGTTTAAAAATTAGTATTTAGCAGAGATAAGATAGCTTAGCAGTGCCAGAGTAAAATAATTCAGACTCAGAGTCCATGTGTGATTAAAATAGAAAGTTTTTACTACATTCTAGCATAGGGAAGGGTAACTGGGATGAAAATAACAACGGAGCTAAATCTCCTACATCTTTACACTACAAAAGACAGGACTAGAAGAGAGATAATGGCTGCTCTTCTTTCTGCTTCAGAACTCCATACAAAGACGGGAAGAGAGAAGCCAAAAAATGCTAAAACACTTTGACACGTTCATTCCAATCAAACTCCTAGATCAGGGAGAATTTTCCCAGGCTTGTACTTCTAAAAACAGCATTGGCTACATGAAACACATGTGACTTCCTTTGACAACACAAACAAACATTTAACCCCAGATATACTGAGTGTAATTTAACTTGTAATACCCAACAGGTGGCCATGCTGATCTGCAGTAGAAGAGCCAGATCCGAGTCCAGTAGCACCTTCGACAAGATTTTTGGCATAAAAGCTTTCAAGTCAAAGCTCCCTTCCTCTGATGACGGGGGGCTCTGTCTCCCAAAAGCTGATACCCCGAAAATCTTGTTGGTCTCTTAGGTGCTATTGGACTGGAATCTATCTCTTCTCCTAGTGAAAGACGTCTTTCTCCACTGGAGGGAAACTTTGTGGAAGGGAAACGCTGCATCGAAACCGTGGTTTCCGAAATGTAAACAGCACTCTCTCTTGGACATACTGTTTTTTCCAGGTGATGCAGGCGATTGTGCTTGTGATGGAGGGTTCTCAGGATTTGGCCTGAGAGGAGAGCTTGGTGCTCCTGGTCAGCCTGGAGGATCGGGTGAAGTAGGCCCAAAAGGACTTCCAGGAGACCCAGGAGACATCGGCTTTCAAGGACCCCCTGGACAATCGGTAAGTCAAGAATGAATGTCTCCGGTCACTGTTGATTCAGATGGGGTAGGGGGAAGGCCTTGCTGGGTTGCTGGCATTGGCTGAATAACTAAGCACCCAGCATCCACCTGTCGGAAAGAATCCTGATTCTTGCACGATGAGTAGAAAGCCAGCAATAGCTTGAAGGATTAAAGTGTCACAAAAACAGGTAGAAATTCCAACAAATCCTCATTGAGTCGCTAGGTAGTTCATGAATTCAATCAATCGACCTTTATTGGCACAACATACAGAACATACGACTCAATTTGCAAGGAATACTGAACGCCTTTTTGAAGCTTCATACAGAAATTTTGCACCAGTTTCAATTATTACATGATTCTGGGTTGTCAGCAAAAAGTAAATCTTACATTCATCAGGTTTCCCTGAATACTTTCTCAGCCATGGCTCAACGAATGTAAGGCGCAGGTCCGAGTAGAAAGTACATGAAAGAAACACGTGTTCAAGAGTTTCTGTCTCCTGCTTAGTGCAGGAACACAATCTACTGTCGAATGGGATTTTTTGGAATCTCCCGTATAATACTACTGATGGAAACACATTAAACCTTGCTAACATAGATGCTCTGCGTTGCTGTTAATGAATTCAAGCATTCATTGTAATGTAGCGTAGTGGATAGAATTTTGGTGCTTCGTCCATAGGGTCAAATCCTTACCCGGCTGTGATGTTTACTGAGTGACCTTGGACAAGTGACAACTCTACACCCATGGTTACTCATTGTGAACTTTTGGTCATTCTTGGGGAGCAGATAATTGGCAAATAACCCAACTGGTAGAAGATAATGCTTGGTGGCTGTAAGCAACTTTCTTTCTAGGAATGTCAAAATAATTTGGCAGCATTTATAAATGCAACCATTTAGATATGCAGAACACTTATATTGCCCTATACTGAGTCAGCCCTTCAGTCTTTTCAAAGTCAATATTGTCTACTTTAACCAGCTGTGGTTCTCCAGGGTCTCCAGTTGGGGTCTTTCACAACACCTACTACCAGGTCCTTTCAACTGAAGATGCCAGGGGTTGAATCTGGGACCTTTTGCATGCCAAGCAGATGCTGTGCCACAGAGCCGTGGCCCTGCCCTTGCTGGATCAGACCAGTGGTCCATCTAGTCCAGCACAGTGGCCAACCAGTTGCCATGGAGGGCTAGCGAACAGGGCGTGGTCCCCTGATGTTGCCTCCCAGCACTGGTATTCAGAGTTGTACTGCCTCTGGAAGTGGAGGCTCCCTTTTGGTCACTATGGCTAGCAACCATTGATGGACCTATCCTTCATGAATCTGTCTAAGCCCCTTTTAAAGCCATTTATGCCTGTGACCATCACTGACAGTGAATTCCACAATTTAATTATTTATTGAGTGAAGACATAATCCTGCTGTTAATGCCTGTGAACTTCATTGGGTGCCCTCATGATCTGGTATTATGGCAGAGGGAGAAGAAGTTCTCACTATTCCCTTTCGCCAGCTGGTGCATAATTTTATAAACCCATCAAATCACGATTCATGCTAATCATAGTTCTGAGCCAAAACCATGGTTCTGGAGCTCTTGCTTGCTTTGATCTTCTGTTTCCTCAGTGCTTTGTTGTCTGGGAAAGATGGCCTTTGTAGGCAAAATGGCGGCCATACCTGTGGCTTTACCAGTTTAGACATCACAGCATTATACTTTGTACAAACTGTGGTTAGCAAACCCTCTTCAAATCGTGGGTACTGATTTTGCTTTATCAGTCTGTCACAGTTCTCTCATAATGCTAGACTACAGCTGAATTTTCTTAACCGTGGCTCATGTTGTCTGAAGTGAGCTGCTGTGTTCACCCCATAACTTGCTAATTCTGTTTTTGTATCTTTTTGCATTGTAGAATTTATTTGGTCAGCCTGGCCCTCCTGGCCAGAAGGGAGAAAAAGGAGAAGCATCTTTCACCACTGGCAGAGGCTTCCGGGGAGATCCAGGGGATGTAGGCCCCAGAGGTCCGTCGCTTCCAGGGCCCCCTGGTAGGGACGGTGTCCCAGGTTTGCCAGGTCGACCTGGCCCTCCAGTAAGTTTATACACATGCCAAGACTTGGCACCTCTTATGCAGAGGTCCATTAGTGGCTCTTAGCCACAAGGTATGAATGGAACACTCTGTCTGGGGCAGTGATGCTCTGTATCCTTTGTGCTTGGGAGGCTCCTGGAGTTCTGGCCCCACTGGTGGATCTCCTAATGGGAGTGTTGGACTGGATGGGCCATTGGTCTGATCCAACATGGCTTCTCTTATGTTCTTATGGTCTTTACTGCCTGTCATGCCTTAGGCTCGGATGTGAAGACTACAGGATTAAAGGACAATAGTTATTGTCAAGAGGGCTTTTAGCATTGAGGGAAAGCACACACTTGGGTCAAGGATCTCTAAGGATGCAGTTTAAAAGATATATATGATACAAAAGCTGTAACATGCCTGTATTTCTGATTCAGGGAGAGATGACCCTGGAGGAAACTGATGAGATTTCTGCTGGATGAAAATAGTAGTCACAAAACTGACAAAACTAAAATATAATATGAGGGACTAGCAGGGAGAGGACTGAGAACAACGATTCCCCAGACCCCTTGAAGCAAAGCCCTGACAGTCAACCTTGCCCTAGGAGTCAGAAAGATTGAATGAATGAATGAATGAATGAATGAATGAATGAATGAATGAATGGTTTATTTGTGGTCAAAGATCACTTTTCATAAGAATACAATATTATACAGTCAAAGAAGTTCATTCCAGGACAGAAAATATGTTTAGTTATAAAAACCTTAAAATATTTATGAACTATAATAATCCCCCCCCAAAAAACCCTTAAGATATATCTAAAATGTCTAATATAAGTAAAATTATTACAAGTCCTACAAAGAAAAACTATACATAACCAGGGGTCTTGTTGTGAAATTTTACCAAGTAGGAGCAGAATTTGGCTATTTGTCTGGAGATAATTGGCTTGTCATGAACTAAAAATCTCTCCAGGCAGGTCTCATCTGCATCTACTGATGGTCTGTCTAAAAATGGGGATATAAACGTATACCTATGAGCTTGATGGAACGGGCACCTAAAGAACATATGAACCATCGATTCCTCTCCTCCAATAGAACAAGGGCAACATCTATCTTCATATGGGGTCTTCCTGTATTTCGCATCTAGAACCCTTGAAGAGATAACCGCACAACGCGCCTAAGTAAAAGCTCTTCTATGAGATGGCACATCCAAATACGTAAAATATTTGGCCATATTCATAACGTATCTCAGGGGTCATTTTGTAGAAAAAGAGCTAGGGGAACTCATTAGCATAACTCATTAGCATATGCCACACCCCCTGACATCACCCGAAGTGTGTCATAAGGCCACACCCCCTGACATCACCGGAAGTGTGTCATTGGAACGGGCACCTAAAGAACATATGAACCATCGATTCCTTTTCTTCAATCGAACAAGGGCAACATCTATCTTCATATGGGATCTTCCTATATTTCACATCTAGCACCCTTGAAGGGATAACTGCATAATGAGCCAAAGTAAAAGCTCTTCTATGAGATGGCACATCCAAATACGTAAAATATTTGGCCATATTCATAGCATATCTGGACTCTCTTGGGGCCAGGAAACAAGGGGCTTTTATTCAATCTCGCTGTCGCTCTGTATCACGCACCCTTTGTTTGATGGTACTTTTCGCCTGGGAACTGCTCTGCGCCAAAAGATTCTCAGGAGAGAGTCCTGTTCTTTCTAAATTGATCTTGACCATTCGCATCCACCTTGGGAAATCGGAAAGATTTGCCACATATACTTTACTTTTTACTTTACTTTTCAACTTATAGAAAGTTTAACAATACTACAATGAAAATAGACAATAGCAAGAAAAATGGGGGGGGGGCAAATGTTACAGAAGGAGTCCGGGGCTCTTTTTGTAGCAGGTACTCATTTGCATATTAAGCGACACACGAAAGTTTAACAATACAACAATGAAAATAGGCAATAGCAAGAAAAATGGGGGGGGTAATGTTACAGAAGGAGTCCCCATCAATGTTCCCTCTAGTTGTGGAGTTTTGTGTGCAAAAATTCTACTTTGTGAGCTACTGGCATTAAAGTTGTGAGTGAGCGATTTGGCTATTGCACAAATTAGTTTGCTCTGGAGCCATCCTTCCTGAGCTAAGACAAAAATGTGTGCGCTGGAGGCTAAAAAACTGCGAGCTAGCTCACACTAACTCAGCTTAGAGGGAACACTGGTCCCCAGCGTTTTTGAGCCTGTGGACATCTTTGGAATTCTGACACAGCATAGTAGGTACAGCCGCAAAAATGGCTGTTGCAGCTTACCTGCAGTCACAGAATGTAGATCCTTGTGCTGTGGTGGCAGCTGCTGCTTCTGAAGCAATATTTTAAAAACTCCTTACAGGCAATGAGATCTCCATTGGCCAGTTAGAAGCCTTGCTGGGCAAAAGCCCCACCTGGCTCAGCCCACATTCTGAAAACACTTGGTGTGCACCAGGAAAGGTATTGACATACACCGTGGCACCACATTGGGAACCCCTGCGTTACAATCTTAGAAGACAGAACAAGGCTCAGAGTACAAACCAGCAAAAGAAACAACATGTGAACAATAGAAAAGAGCAAGAGTCCAGGAGCACCTTAAAGACGAACAACATGGGAGGCAGGGTAGGCACTTTCGTGAGTCACTGTTCACTTCTTCAGATCCCTATCAGAAGAAGCAGGCAGTGACTCAGGAAAGCTCCTACCCTGCCTCACGTTTTGTTAAGTCTTTAAGGTGCTACTGGTCTCTTGCTCAAACTCATTTGTTATGAGGGCCAGATTTGACGTAAATGAGACCTTGTTGGACCGGGCCATGAGTGTCATAAAATGTAACGCCAGGTAGCAGAGATATAAACTTTATAAAGGACACAAGCAAAAAGGGTTTTTCTTTTACTTAAAAAATGAAAACATGCTTAAAATATCAGCACTCTTGCAATATTTTGTTTATTTAACAGTGTCTGATAACTGACACCCCTTGCTCTGAATTATTGCAGCAAAATGTCTGTGCTGTTGCAGTCTTGAGTCTGCTGTTCAGGTGTGTATCTGTAAGCTGCAAACCTATGATCACGCAGCAGTAGCAGAACTGGACGAAGAAGCAGAAGACAGTCAGTTCTACTGCGAGCCTGATAGAAGCCCTCCGGGGGCCTGATCCGGCCCCCGGGCCATATGATTGACACCCTGCTCTATGGCATTATAACCAGCTGAGGTCTCTCCTGTCCCCAAGACCCACCTTCTCCAGGCCTCACCCCCCAAATCTCCAGGAATTTCCCAGCCCAGAGTTGGCAACCCTAACATGTATACATCTGGCCTCACCACCTTTCATAGCTCCAGGGTTCTTCTCCGATCACAGCTCCTTGTTCACCGCAGTCACATCCAATTTGGTCCTTAGTTGCTATTCGTGAACCTCTTGATTCCTTCTCGATACGTCCACTTGGGTCGTTTTACATGGCTTTGTTTCGTTCTGTTAACAGCTTCCCCTCTTTGTGTTTAGGGTGACGGTGGCCTGGGCTTTCCCGGGGAGAAAGGTCTGCCAGGACAGCCTGGGTTCAAGGGTCAGCGTGGTGAGCCGGGTCCCCCTGGCATTAGTTTTCCAGGCCCAAACGGAATCAGTGGGCCTCCAGGTGATCCAGGAGTAAACGGTCTTCCAGGACAGCAAGGACCTCCAGGCCCTCAAGGTACATTAATCAGGGATGCTTCTCCTTTTGAATTTGTCTTAAAGCCCACGTGATCAACATTGCACTTGCTTTTCAAAGTAGCCAACTGGATTTCCAGTTTTAACCCACTGACCTAGTCTTACAACTGGTACTCAGCAAACCAGTTGTGTTTTATTATTTATTTAGGATATGTCTTTCTCCCTTTTCTACTACAAAAAAGGACAGCTTACGGGTAAAGAAATTAAAAGCCAATAAGCCAATCATACAAGCATTAAACACAACAAAAATAGCTTGCAGCAAAAAATTGAAAAGAAATTAAAAGCCAATAAGCCAATCATACAAGCATTAAACACAACAAAAATAGCTTGCAGCAAAAAATTGAATAGTAGCAGTATTGCAGTGTCAGAAATACAGCGATTCTCCGTGACAGTCAATAAGACTGCTAAAACAAACCATCATATCAGGAGATAAATTCAGCTCAGACTCTTGGAATAAAACTGTTTTAACATTCTGCAAGGCCGGAAGCAAAGGGGCAGGATGAATTTCCAAAGTTTGGAAGCCGCAGCCAAAAAGGCCCTGTCACGTATGCCCACCAGTCTTGTCCGTGGGTCATATTCAAGAATCCATTGAAGAAACATAAGAGGGTAAAAGGTCAATGGAAATAGTGTTCAAGTTATTAGGAAATGTGACTGTAAGCTGAAGCCTAGCTTCAGAAGATAATCTACATTGGTGTGTAACTAGCCTAAAGAAAAGCAGCCGCTTACAAAAACTTGGATATTTGCCTATAGGTACCCAAGAGTACTCGACTGGCTTTCGAGCAAGGGAACCTTTACCTTTACCTTTTTTACCCAAGAGTAAAATACACATAGTATCACTTGTAAATTATGTGTGTGGCTCTTACTATATGTTTGTCCCTTTTAAGTATGCACAGCAGCATCAGTGTAAAAGGAGGAAGCAACTGTGCCAGTGTGCTGTCTGTAATACATGAGATAGGAGTGTGGTTTGTATGAAAGTACGGAACGTCATTATAAGTGTCCTTCTGTCCAAAAGAGTAGAAAATGGTGTTTTCTAGATGTACTTTGTGATCATGGCGGAATGAGTTTCCTTGCTCCATCTAATAAGCCAGTTTGGTGTAGTGGTTAAGAGCAGCAGACTCTGATCTGGAGAACCGGGTTTGATTCCCCACTCCACTCCTCCACATGCAGCCAGGTGGGTGGCCTTGGGTCAGTCCCAGTTCTTTCAGAGCTGTTCCCTCAAGAGCAGTTCTCTCAGAGCTCTCTCAGCCCCCCCTGCCTCACAGGGTGTCTGTTGGGGGGAGAGGACGGGAAGGAGACTGTGAGCTGCTCTGAGACTCTGAGTAAAGGGCAGGGTATAAATCCAACTCTTCTTCCTCCTCCTCCAAATTTTAACCATGGAGAAATGGACTGCCCTCTTTTCCAAGTGACCCAAATGCTTCTCTGGCTTAAGCAATAGCCAGTAACTGCTCTGTCTGCTTTTACTCCCCCCCGCAATCTCTTTAAAAATGAAAATGGCTCAGGGCTTGGAGATCTTCTGCACCCCTTCTGTATAATGAGAAACTCTTGTTGTACAGAGAAGGAGACAACCAGTGCAGGTGGCATTACATGATATCCATTAGAATAGCCCTGAAAAGAAATGGAAGGGTACATCCCTTTAAGGGGAAAAGGGAATCTGAGCAGAGTTTTCTCTGGCCTGATGAGCTCAGACTCCCTCTGCTTTCGCATTGCAGCAGATATAGATACATTTTTGCATTTATTTATTTATTTATTTATATCCCACTTTTCTCCCCAGTTGGGACTTAAAGCAGCATAGAATATTCGTTCTCTCCCACCCTCAGTTTTATCACAACAACCCTGTGAGGTAGGCCAGGCAAAGAGTTGAGATAGGTCACTCAGCAAACTTTCATAGTAGAAGTGGGGATTCGAACCTGGGTCTCCCGGGATCCTAGGCTGACACTCTGTCCAATACACCACACCAGCTCTCAATACTATGTCAATACTTATAGTGCTTGTGATGCTGATTGGGTCCTCCTGTTTGCATCTCCCCATGTGTAAGACTGTCTAAAAAACAGCCACAGTTATTTAGGCATATCTTGGTCCCCCGCCTTATATTGGTCCCCACACACACTTTTTAAAGAACAGTAACTATTTTTTAAAAAATCACAAATCTGTATCAGGGATGGGGTGGAGGTGTTGTGTGATGTCACTGGAACCAGCCAGTCAGTACTGCACATTGTCTGGATATTGGAGAGGAACTTTCCTATCTGACCAAAACGCAGGGTGCATCCTTTCTGAGTGGTGTCACTGCTGCATATGTCACTGTCTAAAACCCATTCAGAACTAAACCAGTTTTACCTTAATGATACTGCTCACTTAGCCTACAGGCCTTGAGCAATGTCACTCTAGATACAAGCCCCCCCAATAAAATTACTACACCATTTTTCACACAGAACTGAAAATCTCATGGCTCTTATATATACTGTCACTTAGCATTTTCAACATGAACACTGAGGTTTGTTTTCCCAGTGATGACTAAACATCCTTAATTTATTTGAATACGTTATGTCGCAAGTTCTGCAGTGTAATCCTAAACCTGTCTGCTTGCAAAAGAAATTCCAAGAGCCTGTGAGGAGGCTTGTGCCTTAGAATCCATGAACATGACCAACCGGTCTGGTTCAGAGAGAGGCCACGAAGCTCACAATAACTGTGCTCCGGAGCCAGATGTTGGAGCCAAACCCAAGGAATGGTCTCGGGCCCTGCTTGCAAAATTCCAGAGGCTCCCAACTAACCTCTGTTGGAAACAGAATTCTGGGCTAGAGAGGCCTTTGGAATTCTGACGCAGGGAGCGGGGCACAATCGCAAAATGGCAGCCACAGAAGGTGGAGCCAACTACAAACTGGCCGCCACCAGAGGCAGACCTGCACACACTGAAGTGTATGGGGAAAAGAGAGGTAATTAAAAAAAATACACTGGGGAAGAGGCGCAAGAGAATCAAACCAACATAGGTGACACCTGCTGCTGAATTAAAAAATACACTGGAGAAGAGGCGCAAGAGAATAAAACCAACATAGGTGACACCTGCTGCTGAAACAGTATGTAATCTGCACAGCTAATGGGGTCTCCAGTGGCCAATCAGAAGCCCTGCTGGGCGAGAGGCCCACCTGCCCATCCTTTCTAAAAACACTTGGTGAGCATCGGCAGAGGTGTCAGTAGGCACCATTGGGGGCTCCTGCATTATTCTGACAAAGCAAGGAAGTCACCTTATGGCTACTCCTGTCTGCATCCTCAGTGTTCTGACGCATCCCATGACTTGGAAGTGGTGGGGGCATGTGGTGGTCATGGTGACATGATGTATGCAGATTCCGGAAAACCAGGCTGGCGTAGAGTTGCCAGATCCCCTGGTGAAGGCGGGGATCCCCCGCTCCCACGCCCCATCTCCCCGCTGCCAATCAGCTGGGGGGGGAAACGCCCCCAGAAAAAGAGGGAGATCCGCTGTCATTACCTGTGTGACCCAGAAGTGACGTCATCACTTTTGGGACACTGAGGACGACACTCTGGTATTTGGGCAAAAGCTCTATGGTAGAAGCCAAATTTACCATAGAGGGGTTTTTTTGCCCAAATGCCAGAGTGTCACCCTGATGTCCCGGAAGCGATGACATCACGTCCAGGTCACGTGGGCAGTGATGTAGACACATCACTGTATGTAGGCTGGGCCTCTCTGCTGCTCCCGGTAAGTCCTCACCTACCCCCCCACACACACACACACTGGTTGCCAGGAGGGATCTGGCAACCCTACGCTGGCATTGCTGTGCTTCCAAGAGGGTGCCAAGCAGGAAGCCCTTTCTGGCCTAAGAGGACCTTCACATGGTAGGTTTTGCCCTATGAGGAGACCAGGTGGCAAGCAATGGAAATGCCGTTTAAACAACCCGTTCTCTTTAATCAGTTTACAGTGGCCAAACGTGATCTGTACCTATTTTGTAATAGACCTCTATCGGCTGTTGCTGGTTAGTAGCATCCTGGCCTTAAGAGGGTGCAAAGGGGGTGGGGGGTTGTGTGGAGAGAAACTGGGTTTGCTTCCGATGAGAACCAGATTCCCAAATCTCAATTGAAATGTTGTTTGCTGCCGGTTGAAAGGAAAAAAAAGGTCCTTCCTTTCCCCCCCCCCCCATAGGTTCTAATGCCAGCTTTCCTCAACGGTTTTAACAGCAACGTCTTCTGCTTTCTGCTGCCGCTTTTATTTTTTCATATTATTTCAGCCTCATGCATATTAAAACTTTTTGTCCAGTGAGAGAAAGAGGATGTTTCATCTTTGCAGTGTATAAAAGATGCCTACATATATTCACAGGCAAAATGCTTTGCATTTCCCCCCTGTTCTCCCCCCCCCTTCCAAAATGTGCCCTCTGAAAATGAAGAGGGTCTAAATCTTCCTTCCCGTCATACAAATGAGACCACACAGAATCGGCTGCTGTCTGAAATCCTGGAGAACCGCTGCCAGCCAGGCTTGGCGAGTGGTTTCCAACCTGTATGATCCTGCGAGCACCTTCGGAATTCTGACGCACTGTGGTGGGTGCGGTCACAAAATGGCTGCCACAAAAATAACCGCCACAAAAGGCAGAGCCAGCCACGGCTTACCTTCAGTTACACAGTAAAGATCCTTGTGTTTTGGTGGCAGCTGCTGCCAAAGTTACATTTTAAAAAAAATCTGCGTGGCCAATCAGATCTCCAGTGGCCAATCAAAAGCCTTACTGGGCAAAATCCCTTGGACCTGGATGTCCCAATGTTTTGAGCCAGTAGAGGGCAGACTTTTTGAATTTATATCCCGCCGGCAGTGCCTGTGAATATGTGTGGCTTGTGGTTGAAGGAAAACGCTTTCGATCTTGTGGGTTTTCTCTGCCTTTGTTTAACCTGTGCTCCTTTGCTTAACTGGTATAGGTGACTGCTGCTGCGGTGAGGAGTTTGGTAATGGAGTCTTAGACACTCTGGGAGGTGAGAGCGAGGCCCCAGCTGTTGTCGAAATGATGACGGGCAAATCCTCTTCCTTCCCATTATTACACAAGACACACACACACAAGACACGCCCAGCACCAGGGGAAGGGAGGGGAGGGAAGGGGATAGAAGAGAAGGGGGTCACATTTGTTGGTCCCTGAAGGCTGAACGAAGCCAGCCAACCAACAGAGAGAGAGCTTGCTTATGTGTGCTTTCCCCCTGAACCCACACTGGGTGCTTAAATGCTCAACTCTGCTTCCTCATGGCTACGTATCTCCATGTCTTTGCTTGCTGCATGTGCCTTACAGTGGCTGCGGAACAAAACACAGCGCTATAGCCAGGATTGTGCTTTCCATCCCAACCCTCAAAACAGAAATGTCAAGATGTTTGCCTCCAGGAAATGCAGATTCTCAGCACGAATCGTGGAGTGTACGCCCATTTGCATACATTCACTTGTCCGGCTGTATTTTTGCTTGCCTTGGTTGCACTTTGCCTGTAGCCAGGGGGGGAGCGGAGAAACAGCTTCCGGTCCGTAGGGAGGGGGGAAGGAACAGAGGTCTAGCTGTAGGAGAGTCACAGGCACTGGCTTTAGGGTTGCCATCCCCTGATTTCAGGGGCCCCAATCTGCTATCGACCAGGTGGCTGGGGAAGCCCCCCCCCCCAAACAGCAGCATCCCGCGGGGGGGCTGCCGATG